TCTCACAGGAGGGCCACTCTCTCTCCAATCTCTCAGTCCTGATCCTCAAGGGAAATTTACACAACACTTCCCAGAGACGAGCCTATGAGCTCCATTTCATCAACCTGCTGGATACTAGAGATCAGGGACTAAACATAGACATTGGATTTTTGATACATTATAATCTGCCTGGCAACTGACTCCCCAGCCCAGCCCAGCCCCTGGCTTCTTTACTTTTCATTCCATCCAGGAAGAGCACACACCAACTGCTGCAGCTTCCTGAGCCTGACGAAGGGTTTTTGAACCCGAAATCTTGCTTAATAACTATTCTCCAACCATTTGGGTTGGTCTAATAAAAGATATCAAATTCACCCAAGGAACCTTGTCTGCCTATATCCTTAGACCAACACGGCTACAACCTAAACCCCTAAGCAATATTCTTATACTCTTGCCTAGTCATCTGTCCAAGCTTCCACTTCTTGTAAGTTTTGTGTGTTTAAGCTTTTTTCCTTTTGGTGTTTAAGCTCACAGGAGATCTCTGCTAAGCCAAGCTGGTTGCCTGCCATATTTGCTATTCTTCCTGCATATCTGGATGGTTTGTTCCTCTGCCCTTTTAAAGAAACCTATTTTAAAGGTTTCTTTAAAATATAACCAGCTCTCCCAGACTCCTTTCCCCTTCAGACTGGCATCCCAGGGAATCCTGCTCATCAGTTCCCTTAGAGAATCAAAGTCTGCTTTTCTGGAGTCCAGGGTCCATACTCTGCTGCTCTCCTTCCTTCCTTTTGTCAGGATCCTGAACTTGATCATCTCGTGGTCATGACTGCCCAAATTGTCATCTACTTTTACACCTCCCCACCAGTTCTTCCCCGTTTATGAGCAGCAGGACAAGAAGAGCACGGCCCCTAGTTGGTCTCTCCAACCCTGGCGCCAGGAAGTTATCCCCAGTGCTCTCCAAAAACTTACTAAGAATACCTGCTCACTGCTGTACTGCCCTCCCAGTAGATGTCAGGGTGATTGAAGTCCTTTAGGAGAACCAGGGGCTGTAAACAGGAAACTTGTGCTAGCTGTTTGAAGAAAGCCTCACCCACCACATCTTCCTGGTGGTCTATAGCAGACACCAACCACAACATCACCTTTGTTGCTTTCCCCTCTGACCTCAACTCAGAGACTTTCAACAGGTCCGTCTCCAGTTTCATACTGGAGCTCTGAGCAACATATAGCTCTTTTACATATAGTGCAACTCCTCCTCCTCCTTCTCCCCTGCCTGTCCTTCCTGAATAGTTTGTACCCATCCATAACAATACTCCAGTCATGTGAAGTATCTCACCAAGTCTCTATTATTCCAATCATGTCATAGTTCCTTGATTGTGTGAGGACTTTCAGTTTTTTCTGTTTGTTTGTCAGGCTCCATGTGTTTGTGTACAAACATCTGAGGTAACTAGCTGATTGCCCTACTTTCTCAGTAAGAATAAGGAGGCCTCCCCTATTGCCCCCTCCTCTTTGTACTTCCTTCAGGCCACCATTTACCTCAGGGCTTTGGTTTCCATCCTCTGGCAACCCTAATTTAAAGCCCTTCTCACTAGGTTAGCAAGCCTATCTGCAAAGATGCTTTTCCCTCTCCATCAGGTGGATCCCATCTCTTCCTAGCAATCTTTCTTCTTGAAACAACATCCCAAGAAGAAGCCAAATCCCTGCTGGCAACACCACCTGAGCAGCCAAAGACTGATCTGCAGGGTGTGTCCACTCTTGCCCAGGACCCTTCCCCTTGACTAGAAGGATCGAGGAGCATACCACCTGTATCCCCATCCCTTTCACTCAGAGCCCTGTAGTCACTCTTGATCTGCTCAGGGTCATCTCTGGCAGTATCACCGGTGCCCATATGCTCATACATCTGGGTGGGTTGCTTCTCTTCCTGGATCCGCCAAGCTTGATGGTCCATCAAGGAATAGAACCTTGACTTCTCTGTGTAGCCTCTTCTTTTTTGGCATATTTAGACCCCTAGGTAAACATGGATAGGAAACATGGGCTGTACCTTTCCCTCTAACCCTAATATGGGATTGTCTGCTAGTGAAGCAAGGAAGATCATTGAGATGGGAAGATTTCTTGCAACTTTCCATCACTGCAGGGACAAACTGGCACCTAGGAATATGATCCCAAAATCTTATCCTTTTTCAGGCAGGGATGATCACACTGCCAACTATTAAGACTGCTTAACTCAGTCCTTTATAAAGCCCTGCTTTCAGTTTCTTATAATTTTGTAAAACTCAACCCCCATGGGCCAAAGTTTTCCTTCCCAGGTGACTGCCTTGGGTTACCCTTTTGCCATGCCTGTGAAAGTCATCTAAAATTTAGCTACAAGTCACTGAAGAAATTGTGCTTGGCATGCATTAGGATTTCTATGGAGAATTTCTGAAGATTTCATGCCCAGTGAGCATGGCTAGGTTTCTCAGCCCCTACTGCTTAGTAGATTTTGCATACACTATCCCTTCACCAATTATACATCTTCTGTCGACACAAAACAGCCAAGCAAGGGCCAGTCCAGGGCTACAAAGTCAAGGCTGCACTTTCCCAGTTTGGCTTGATCCAAACTGGGGTGGAATGCTCGACTTCCACTATTAATACTGTTCTTATAATGTAGTCCTTTGTGTGCAATAGTATCCATGTGCTGAATCAAGGCAAAAAACAAAACTCATTCAGTTTTATCTTGTTCCTTTCAGATGGCTGGTACAGTTACATCTGCAATCTGTACTGGATTGGCATGAAATGTCCTGTCATTCAGAATGAATTCATTTATGTAAATCTTTTAAAAATATCGATTGTTTTCATGGATGGATTCAGATGATTACAGATCATTAGCAAGGTAGAAAAGACAAAATAGCCTAATTATCTGAAAAAGGGATAAGTAAAAATTCACTGTTTTGTGCATGGAATTTTGCTTATCAATGGATATTTTTAAAATGAAAACTGTTTTAAAGGAAGACTTGAAATGCCTATTTTTCAGCACTATGTTTTTATTGAATCAGTTTCTTTTCTTTTGAGGAGAAAAATTAACCTGGAAGACAGATAACAGTAACTACATGTACTTCTGCAGACTTGCTGAGTTAATTTAAGGTCCTGTCTTTGGAAGCAATAGGAATGTTTAGAGCTGTTTATCACTTTAGAGTGCTGTTTAATTAAAAATGCAAATATTAATATTGATAGGATAATTACTTTCCATTTTCTCTGTATTCAAGATATTCTTTATTTTCTAAATTTAAAACTAAAATACAGTGTCACAAGCCCTATCATTGGTATTAATGGTGGTATCTTAGGAAGAAATGAAGTGAAGAAAGCAAGACAGTTTTGTAATTTTGACTGCCAACCAGAATTTCATGGTACTAGTAACAGAAAAAGGAAAGTCACAATGGTTACTTACAGAAGTAACGCCCCCCCTCCCCCCCAAACCAGCGCTTTACTTTAAACTCTGCCTGCCCCCTGCCAAGCCTAGTACGTGCCCAGAAGAGGCATTGCATTAGTTGGACCTGGCTTGCCCAACATCTCTATAGATCGGGCACTTCGGGGGCGGGGGGGCGGGGGCGGGGAAGGGAAGGGGCTTTTTGGCGCTTGTACCTAATAGCTGATTGAATCAGCCATTAGATAAAAGCGCCAAAAAGCCCTGCTGAAACACCTGATCTACACAGATGCTGTGTCAAACTAACACACTGCTTCTTCCAGTAAAGTGCGTTTCCCCTCCCTCCACTCACATACGTCAGCGCCCAATGTAAAAAGTAAACTAAATCCCTATGATAAAATGAAGGCATTTTTGTATTTATATTCCAGATATTTCTTTAATATCTGTAGTTGTTTCTTAGTGTCATATTCATAAAATAGCACTAAGATCATCTTAAAAATCACCACTGCTATAGAAAAATATTTCATGGCAAGAAGATTTTTATGTGAACATGTAACCTTTATATGCTTTGTTTTATGAAACAGAAGAATAGATTCTGTCTTCTTAAACAGACCATTTAAACTTTTAAAAGTTAAGTGGCAAGATTTAAAGAGGTGTACAAGTGGGTATCCTTCAGAAACTGAAAACTCAATCAAAGCAAAGACAAAAGAAAGATTCTATTAGATACTGAGCATAATCCCATCCAAGACAAAGCAGAGAAATGAAAATGTTGCCATTTTTGCTTGTTTTTATACCAACAAAACTGTACTATGCACATTTATGTTTCAGGTAAATTTTTTGGAAATGTAATGTTTAGCAAATTGGAAGTATGATTCTGCTTAAATCAGGTGACAGATATGCCTTATGCAGGTTCCACATTAGCTTTCTTATATTACCCTTCCAAGCTTGCTCTACATTTCCAAGCTTGGGTCACTTTTATGCTTCTTAGCCTGCTGGTTATTTCAAACAATTTAAATTATGTGACATCAAGCTATATCCACAAAGGAGTAGGAACAAGCTAATAAGTTTAGACTGTCTGCTAGATACATCTTCAGAGGAAAACATGCTTTTAAAAACACTTCTTCAATTATGAGCCTTGTGAACATCCCTATAATACTGTTTATGCAATCTGAAGAGAACCTCAAGAACAGCATTCATAGTCCTATCCTTAACAAAGCCCTTAATATACCATGACAAACCACCTCACTCTCCACTACAGTCCAGTACAATTATGCTCCATAAAGGCATTATAACTGGGAATGCCTACTTTAAATCATTAGGTTCAGGGGATGGGGGGGAGGGCGAGGATCTTCAGAAGCAGGACCCTGCAGAACTCCTTGTCAGAAGAAGTAACAGTTCTGAGGCTAGTTATTATGAGATTCAAATGTAAATCATATCTTCTGTGATAGTGCCTTTTCTGCCAGTGAGCAAAAACAAGAACACTTAAATTTTCCTTGTCATATCAGAGGGAACAAAGAAACAACATTAATTGTTATTATGCCTACCACTCCTATTACACAAAGCTGATGCCTTTTCTTAATTACATGTAGCACCTATATACCAAGGGATAGGCAGCTCAGAATCTACTTACGGTCCACAAATGAAGTGAAAAGCATTCTGAATCTGCTCAGTCGGCTACCTTCATCTGCCCACATCCGTACTACTCCTGTTCCAGTCTGCAGCATCACATCATTGGCTACTGTGCTACAAAACTTCGCCTTCAGGTTTTCAATGGAACTGCTTCCATCATACACTGCAACAAAGTTTCTCTTGCACTCATTTGAATGCTCCATTTGGTAATCCAGGAATCTCAAATAAATCTGTTAAAAAGGAAAAAAAAAAGCCTTTAAAGGGAAAGTAAAGTAGCCTGCTAGTAATTATTTTTCTTCTTAGCCTTCTGGCAAGTCTTGACTGAGATATTCACTCTTCCTTATGTATGTGGAGGTCCCAGTTTACAGCTGTTGCACACTTAAGCTTTGTTTCCTTAAAAATATGGCTTGCAAAATGTCATGTCATTACAAAAATTTAATCGTAAGTATTCATATCTGAAGCATTTGTATGTGACAAAATCCTTGCAGGCAAAACTTATGCTAATTGATGTGCCTCTATTGGCTTAAAGAAAAAGCAATATTCAAATGTAAAAATGTTATTGGAAAGCCACTTTAAGAATGCACTCCAGTATTCTAGGAAATAATGTAAATGTAAAGAATCTACTGGATATGCAGTGTTTTGCATTCTTGGTTTAAATTAAAAAAAAAAAAACAAAACCCAGGAATTTTTCAGGGTTTATCTCTGAAATATAAAAACCGGGATAAAATTGGGATAAAAGGAAGAAAAGGAAAAAAAAATTGGTTTAAATTGGGGGGGGGGGGGGGGGGGAAAAGGGAGGGAAGGAGTAAGGCTAGAACTAGGGAAGGGGCAGGGAGAGGGGCACAACAGCCTGTCGGCTGCTCCCAGGGCTGCAGCAGGGAGCAAAGCAGGGGGAGCTGTCAGTGGGTGCAGAGCACAGGGCTGGGGGTGCAGCTCTTGCTGCTATGCACCCCCCCACCCCGGAGGGCTGGAGGGCTGTGCTGGGCTCTTCCTAGAGGACACATGCTCCCAGATCTGCGCATGGGATGAGTGCAGGCTGCCGCTGTAGGCTGGGGCCAGCGGTGACACTTGCCTCTTCCAGGCACTGGGCAGCCTGCTCTGGCTGCAGCTTGCTGCCACTGCAGGCTGGAGCCGGTGGTAGCACTGGGCTCTTTCCAATGCTTGGGACAGGTGGCAGCCTGCTCTCATCCCACACGCAGATGCGGGGGCATGTGCCCCCCGGGAGGGCTGCAGGCTAGGGGCAGCTCATATATTGTGCCAGGTTCTTCCCACGGGGTGTGTGCCCCCGGATCTGCACAGGGGACAAGAGCAGGAGCGCCAGGAAGAGCCCGGTGCCACCACTGGCCCCAGCCTGCAGGGAGTGGGGCCGTGGTCTCCCGACTGCCCCCCTGGTGGGGGGTGCAGCTCCCAGGGCCCAGGACAGGGCTGAAGCCAGGGCCACCAGGGTGCAGCTCAGACCCGCCTGCCGCAGGAGTGATTCCCATGGCCCATCCTGACCCGCTCCACCTGGGGTTAGAGCCAGGAGCTCCACACCCCCAAGGCAGCAGCTTCAACCACCCTCTTCTGACCCCTGCATGGCCACTGCCACCCCCAAGCCCCCCACTCCACATGCAGCCGCCACCACCACCACCCTGCATCCAGACCTGTGCCTCAGCTAACCAGCACAGCGGCACTTTTAGCTTACCGGCACCACCGTTTTTTCCGTTCAAATTTCTGTTAACCGGCATGAGTCGGGAATGGGCCATTTCCCACTTATGCCAGTTAACAGGGATTTGAATGGAAAAACGGGTGTAAATTAGTAAAAACCGAATGACATAAAAATAAATAAATAAATAAATAAATAAATAAATCGGGGAATTTATCAGTGGGGGAAAAAAAATAATAAAAATCAGTAAAAACCAAGAATGAGGAACACTATGGATATGTGCAATCAAAAACCTATTTTTAGAAGTTGGGGGAAGAGCTTTCTTGTACAAATTTCTAAACCTTAGGAAGAAGAATATTTAAAAATGATCAAAGGAATCTATTGAGAAAGGTCTTAAAGTAAAAAACAAGGGAATTAACACCTTTAGACTCAGCATGGAGGCTACTTAATGAACCACAGAGTTACAGAGGATGCGAGCAACCTGAACAAGGAACAAAAGCAGAAAGGCAAGAAGTAAGTATGTGATAAGTGGCGAGATTTAAAGAGATGTACAAGTGGGTATCCTTCAGAAACTGAAAACCTAACCAAAGCAAAGACAGGAGAAAGAGGTCCGACATGTAGTAAGAAAATTAGGATGACAAAAGTAAAATCTGAAGAAAAACCAAAAGTGTAAATTATTGTTCTGAGGCAGAAATCTTGGGAGAAAATCTATGTTTGTCGGACTTCCAAGGATTAAAGGAAACAATTAAGGAGATTTCTGGGCATGAACCAACCCACTGATGAGAGGTGGGTTAGGAAGAATTTTCATATGTGGATAGGCTATTCTGGAAGCTCCATCTTTTTCTCTGGTGTCTGGTACTGGCTACTGTAAGAGACAGATTATTAGATTACAGCAATTCTTGTATTTCTATTAAATGCATTCGACATGACTTAGTACAAAAGATCAAATTTCCATGTCTTTTTCATTTCCACGTGATGTCAGTGACTAATTTTAGTGATGGGATTTCAAAGGTACCCATGTAACTGGTGTTCCTAAGACACTCAGATGCTTTTGAAAACAACTTTCAACTGGGAGGATTACCTACTAATTTCTCATTATGACATGGAAGTAAAATCAGTTCCTTGTGGAGGCTTAGGTCTCTTCAGTTTGTGACAAGCAGATCACATCCAGGTGGGCCTTGAATGCATTGGTATTGACAGCAGTTGATCATTATTTATTTCAGTATTTGACAGAGTAAAAAGAAATGCTAGACGTTCTTCTTGGGTATAGTAAAACCCCCATTGATGAGAGAGAGACAGAGAGATCTCCTCCTTTCTTTCCTCGTATCTGGTTCAAATGAGTGTCAAGGACTTTTCAGCTTCCCTTTGAAATATCCACTCAGAAAAAGGAGCAAACAAGGCTTATAAAAATGCCGTACATGATTGGCTGTTCCTGCAACCCCAAAGAGGTGCAGTTGCACCCCACCTTTGATTTCTGGTCCACTCAAAGTTTAAAACTGCCTGACAGTGGCACCAGGATTTCTGTTTATGCAGGAACGAAGGAGTCAGTTGACTTCATGGCTCATTATATTTTACCTGATTCTTTCTAAACTCTTCATTCCATTGGCGTTAATGACCCTCTCTCCTCTTTTAATGGTCTTGATATTACGCTAATCAAGCTATCCTTTCTGTTAGCTGCTCTTCTTAATGTAGGCTCCTATTTCACAGCCCTACAGGCTCTCTTAATTCTAGCTAAAGACATTATCTCAGGTGAAAATCAACTCAGGTGTGGAAATAATTTTCATTGAAGCATTGCATGCATTGTCAAGATGTTTTATCAATCTAAGAGAGATATATATTTAGTTCTAATGACAACAGGACTAAAGAAGCAACATCTTTTGATTTAATTTTAGCCTAGTTTAATGCATTTTATACACAATATATGAAATAGCAAATGAATTCACATCTCAATAGTTTGTTTTTGCTTTGATCTTAAATTGAATAATATGATGCATATATACCAATATGCTCCTAGCATATTAGTAAAGCTTCTGGTTCCTTTTTATCTGGAGAAAAATGTGTGATGATGATGTACCATACCATCTGCATCCCCCTTGCTGGCTCTTGGATTTAGGATCCAGACACCTTGGTCTGCGTGGGGGACCCACCCTCAGACTGACCATGATCTTTTCAACAATAGGCAAATTTATTAATACACAATGATAACAGAAAAGAAACAATGCAAACAATCAAGCAATTCTATATATCCACCAAACCCTAGGGCTGTCATCAGAGTCAAAGTACATCTGGCCAGGACGCAGTCTTCACTCTGAGACATTCAGAAAGGAGAAAGCCTTCTACACAAACTGGCCCGTTGAAGGCAGGGAAGAGGGGATGCCTGGTGTAAATTACAGGTTAAGATTACCATTCTGGTACACTGTCCCCTGAGCAGCTGCATCCTCTTACAATATTGTATGAGCTAATGTTTTGCACAGGTTGTTGGTACCATACCTCTTCTCATCCTTTAAGTGCTATGGAAAGATATAGTCTGTCCCATATTCTTTTTCCTGCCTTGTCTTTAAGCATTACTTCTATCAGAAGCTTTTTATTGTAATTTGCTGAACTCTGCTTACTGCTCAGTATTGCAGATTCTAGAGAAATATCTTGGTGAATGTACGTTTGTTTTCAGGTCCCATGTTCCACTTCATTGTCCTAATCCAGAGCACAATTTCTGAGAGGGCTAAGAACCTGTAACTTCCTTTGACTTCCCATTGAAATCAGTGGGAGCTGCAGGTGCTAGCATTTGGCCTCAAATGTGCAATTCTCTGGCAACTGTTATTTAATT